ATATGCACACCTTTGAAAGATACCACATGTTCCAAAAAGATGACTTCTAACTTTCAAAGTTTGTATTTTGATTGCTTGTAATAGGAACAATTATCTTATAGTTGGCATAAATTTTTTTGTAGATATTGCTCATACTCTTTAGATATTTTATTATATATAAAAATATCATCAATGAAGATGACTATATACTTGTCCAAAAGGTCCCAAAACAATGTATTTATATGATCCATAGAAGAGGCTAAAACATTGATAAGGCCAAAAGGTAAATTAGCCATTTAAAATGTTTATAACATGTAAAAAATGCCATCTTTTCTACATCCTAACTTACAATAGGTATCTACCAATAGTTGCTTCAAAGATCCAATTTACTAAAGTTCGTCAAGAAAATCATCCACGCGTGGAAGTAGATATGTATTTTTAACAATCTACTTATTAAGGCCTTGATAATCGATGCAAAAGCAAAGTCCACCATCATTTTTAGGTGCAAAGAGTACACGTGCTCTCCATAGTGATGTGCTTTCTCAAATGAGGCTTTTCTCTAAGAATTTGTCTACTAACTTTCAAAGTTCTTGAAGTTCTTTTGGTACTAAGAAATAAATTGATCGACTTGTTAGTTTCACTTTAAGTAATAGTTCTATTTGAAAGGAGGTATCTTGATCAAGAAGCACGCCACTAGATAGGTTAGTTGGGAAGATATTCTAATATTTTCATATGAGTTGATCTGCTTGTTCTATTCCTTTGGTTGTCTTTCTTACCACTAATACAAGATTTGGAACCACCATATATACCAGTTGCTTATGTTGTATTTGCTTCTTTATAAAGGTCATCCCTAAAAATAAGTCTTTAGTTACAGATTGTCTTTCTTCTTCACTTGATGCAAAAGTACAAAGAGTTACTCTGTAAGTACCATCTTTAAAGGAGATTGTCCTTGCTACCCAATCAACTTACTTATTTTCCATCTCTAGCTATGGCTTTCAACAATAATATCATATCTTAGCTTTATCACCTTGAACTTCTCTCTTAAGATGTAGGTGTCAGTCAACCTCAAGGTTTCTTCTTCATATGTCTCACTCAATACATTCTCTCAATCATTTGTAAGATATATACTTCCTCCCTTGATTGTTTTAGTTTTAATTCTAAGTTGGTCAATAATTTCATTTGAGATGTAATTTTTTATAGAGCTACAATCTACAAGCACTCGACATGCTTGTCCTCTTAGTAGTCCCATTAGATGCATAAGTCAATCCTTTTTATAGTTATTCAAAGCCATGTTGTTTGTTTCTAAAAAATAATAGCTATTCTCAGTATTAGCCCTTGGTACCTTTACTAGAGAGTCTTATTTTTTTGCTCTGTCTCATTATCAATTTGGTGAGTTTTGACATTATGAATCTGCCTTGTTTTACAGGTGCTTGAATTTTGACATTTTGAACAACCTCCAATCTGATGGCCTACCTCCCAACAATAAAAATATAATCCATTTTCACCAATATTTGTTGTCTTTGTAGTGTCAATAATCCTTGTAGGGCATCAATTTCCATTGGCATTGATTGTTGTACCATAGTATTAGATAGCAGCATAGGACTTTGTGTTATAGGTTGTACTCTATGATTTCTGAAATCTATAGCATCCACCCTCTCTGCAATACAAATTTCCTCTTCGAATGTTTGTAGATCCCTTAGTTCTACTTCTTGCTAGACTACTAGCTTCAAACTTTGTAAGAATCAATCCATCATCTTTGCCTCCAAAACATTATCAATTTAAAAACATAGGAACTTGAATCAGGAGACATAATTTTGTACTAACTTAGATTGTCTAAGATTTGTCAATTTATTGTATGCTATCTTTTCTGTATTGATGGAACAAAATTGATTTTAAACTTGGTCTCATATTCCTCTCAATCACAAAATCCACCTTGAGTTCTATAACTTTGAATTTGATGTCACAACCAAATGGCTGCCACATCTTTCAAATACCTCATTGCATACATAATTCTTTCAGTGATATTTGTCTCAGATAGTTTGACATATTGTTCCATATTAAAGAGCCATTGATATACATCTTCTTATCTTGAAGTCCTGGAGTATGTACTAAGCTTATTCAATTTCAATCTAATAGATGTCAACTCCCTTATCCTCGAAGGTTCTATTTACTCTTACAAAGTAGCTATCTGGCCTAAGATGTGATGTATTTGAGTGTCCATCTGGGATTACTCTACCATATCTCTCATGTTGTAATTTCTCCGCTAGACACAACTATTATCATGTCTTCTCATTTCTTGTTTGATTTTTTAAGAGTAATTGTTAGGGACATAGTCCTTAGACCTTTCTAGAGACAAGTTTCTAGAACCTTCTAGAAAGAAGTCTCTAAGAAACTTCCAAAAGATTCTTTGAATATTCTCTTAGAATATTCTTCAAAGATTCCCTAAAGATTCTTTGAAGATTCCCTAAAGATTCCCTTAGAAGGCTCTAGAAGATTCTTAGAATATTCTAGTAGATTCTAGGAAGTTACTTGAGAAGCTTCCTAGCTCTTGGGTAGTTGCTCGAGAAGCTTCATAGTTCTTGGGAAGCTTCTTGATGCGCTTCCTTAGAACCATAGGCCAGTAGTATATATAGGAGTCGAGGCTGAAGAGTTCTTCAGTCTCAACAACACATCTCTTGGAGTTCTAGCTCACCTTTCTGGTGTTGTTCTTGTACTCATCTGTTTAATGTAGTTCTGCCACTTCTTCTTGAACTTCTTGTTAGATTTCAAGTCTGTATTTTGTGTCCGTGACAGTAACTCATGGTAACCTCAATATAGTACCTAGTGAGACTACAATAAATGATTTTGGACTAGATGATGACTATCGACATATTATTAAAAAAATAGTCTAACATTCACTCTGATAGTAATGAAACATAACTAATCTATCTCAAAAATCTAAGACCCTTCAAAACTACAACAACATAAAGCTTAATCACAAAGTAGAACAAAACTAAACAAAACTAATCAAAATAAGAAATAAAAGACAAAACTGAGCAAACAGAAATAGAACAAAATTCAATTGAACAAAAAGATGCAAAACCAAATTTTACTAAGAAAAAGAATCCAAATTCATATCTGATTAGATGCCCCAAAAGGTCTACACTAGTCCTATTTATACTTTATTCTACCACCTTAGACTTTCTAGAATATTTCTAAATGATAGATCCTACTCAGATAATTCCCTTAAACTCCTTTTAGAAGGTTCCATAGACGACTCTACTTAGATAACCATCTTAAGCTTTTTTTTAGAAGATTCCATGGTGGATCCTAGTTAGATAACTATCCTAAATTCTTTCAAGAATGTTCTATGGTGGATCCTACCTAGTCCACTAACCTAACTCCAATTCTAGAAACTTTGATGGTTCTAACTATCTATCCCTATGTGTCAATAATACAAATATCTTATCTATACCTTCTTATAGATTTGGTGTAAAAGCATAAAAAAGATATTTTTTAATAGCAACTAATGTAATAATATCATTTGTCTAAATATGAAGCTACTAAAAGATCTTTATTTTATATATTACCTCTTATAGGTATATATCAAAAGTCTTATATAATAATTTTAATTTTTTTTTGGGATAGATTAAATTTGATTTTTTTTTACTAATTAGTAAGTCTTTTTTCCAATACATCTACTATCAGTTGAAATCAAAGCCTTTCTTATTCTTACATTACTGATATAAGTGTCATTAATCCATATTTCTATCAACAAATATTATTTAGAATATCTTTATCTTTGCATACATTGTATAAATATTGCAAAATTTATTTCTAAATCCTTTCATTACTAATAAGATCACAAAACAACTAGACACTTTACATTCTTATTATTACACAATTACTTGTTATATTTATATAATACATGCTTTAAATAAGTATAAAAAAAAATTATTTTATATGTTCTAAAGATACATGATTTTTTGATTATCTCATTAATTCTTTTAGCTAACACAAGGTCAACACTTACAACTATGCTCAAACTACCATGACTAGCATTTAGCATGTGTAATACTTGTATATTATATTTTATTAGATTCATCACAAGTATCACCAATTTTCATGTTTTTTAAGATAAATAATATTTCTATTCATTTGAAATATAATAAGGAGCATAAATATAATAATTTCATCTCAAGAAATAGAGGTGAAAATCATATGTTAAATTAAAAATAAATTAGTATCTTATATAATTTAAGAATATATTTTTTAGATAAATAGTTGTATATGATAAACTTAAAATAAAATTTTAATCTATTATATATCAAAAAAATCATGAAATTTTATGATACGATTTTTATTTTATATTTTATATTATATATAAAATAAAATAAAAAATATATCAATATTTATAGTAAGTATAATAAATTAAAACAAAGAATTGATTAATCAATTTAAATATTTTCGAAAAATTCACAATATAATATAAAATTTAGTAAAGTATAATGTAATTTTTAAAAAAAATTATTATTTAAATAATTATTTATATTAAAAGATAAAATTTTAATTATTTCATAACAACTTGTATGTTCAAATTTAAACAAAACATTTGAAAAATTGTATTTCTGGTAATTTGTCCATGTAATCAACAAGGTTCTTTAAAAATTTTGTTTAGACATTCTATGGTACACCAAAACAAGTAAATGAAAATCATAATTAGTTTTCTAAAACAGTTGCATTCACTTTTTTTTAATTTTTTGAATATTTGTGGTTACGCTTACGAAACTGAAAGGGCCGAGAGACGGCGCCATACGAGGCCACGTCATGGGTTGAGATGGCATGCATGGATGGCATCATGAGGGATGATGGATGGGCCGGATGCAGACAAGAACGTATAACGACAAAGTGTTGGCGCCAAGACCCGCCCTGTCCCTCCCAGCCCAGCCCAGCCCAGCCCAGCCCGTTGCGCCTGGACCCGGCCCGGCGTCCGAATCGTCCCTTTCCCTTCTTCTCCATTATAATAAAAAGCCATTGCCATTACCATCGCCATTACCAACATCCCCTACGTCTCGTCGCAATGCCTCTGTCTTTCATTACCATCGCCACCTCTTGAAGCTCACCATCAATTCCTTGCAGTCCTTTCTCTCGCTCCCATCATCGCCTTTCCTCGTCTGCACTGCTTTCCTTTGCCGCGATGGTTTTTCTTAAAAACTGTTGTCTATGAGAGAATGTTGTTAGTCTCGCGGCGATGTGCGTGTAACTGGTCTCCTGGGCTGCTTTGATTCACTGGTGGATTTTTAGAAGTCTCGTGATTTTGGGAGCATTTCAATCCTTGGCGGTGTTTACTGAGATTCTCAATTTAATTTTGCAGTATAATTTACAAGAATTACGTGTGTTGGAAGTTTGAGGAGGAGTTGGTATTTAGTAATTTTTTCGTTTGTGGGGGTTGGAGGAAAGTGGACGGATAGTAGGAACGGATTGGTCTGGTTTTCGCCTAGGGCTGCAGCTTTGGCGGTCGGATTCTGTTGGATAGAGGCACGGTTGTGAGAACATGGGAGATCAAGGGGATATGGCAATTGTTGTGCCTGAAGCCGATGTGATTATGACGGAAGCTGCTCCCGTGTTGGAGGCTCTGAAGGACGTGGTTGCTGAGCCGGAGGAGCTTAGCAATGGCAATGGTGTATCTTCTTTCGATGATGAAGTGCAGCCAATTGTTGACGACGAGCTAGGTGCGTCTTATACGGCCTTGCTTGCGAATAATCAATTTTCTGCCAACTATTTGCGACTCTGTTGTACTCTGCAGAGTCGCGGAGATATCAATCTCGTTTTCAATATTGGAGTTGACGCGAAGCAGTCTTTCTGAAAGACGTGCATTCTTAGCAATCGTGTGGTCGGGTCTACTGCATTAATCGTAGGTTCGTATTTCAGCCCGCCCAGGAGGCAATTATATTCAGATGTATTTATTCGGGACCAAGAGCTCCCCATGAGATTATGAAGGCTACCAAATCTTCGGCAACCGTGGCATTCTTGACTTGTTATTTCTAAATTTAGACTTTTATGAGGTTAATGTGAACGAGGCTAAAAGAAAATTACACAAACTTGGCGTTTACTGCTGTTGTCCTGCCGAATCATTGCAGCTCTCACTACCGAAGAGGAGCGTCTCTGGGGTTTGGTGAGGGACAATGCAGCTGACTTTAATGCATGGACTGAGCTTATCCAAGAAACAGAGAAGTCGGTAAGTCTCCTCTCTATTGTCGCTGCCATTGGCATGATACGACATGAACCAAGCTTTGACGGGAAAACATGTTTCTACTTGAATGGTGCTCGTTGCACAGTATTGCGCGCGTCATTTACGCTTCCAGGGTGACTAAAATGTTAAAAAGAATCAATTAGTAACTTTCATGCGGAATGTGGGGTGGTTCTTGTCTTTGATTTGTTCTCATTTTATTTACAGCTGAGGATGGTGTAAAATTAATGGGAACAGATCTCCGCTGTTGGCTGATAGCGGATGGTCCTTTCACATGTTTGATCTTCGTTGTGAAGTCGGTTGGGTACTCTCTTTGTGATCACTATGGATGTTCTAATGTTCTGCATGCATCTTTCTGTTCCTCGCAGGGAAGCATCGTGAAAATCGAAAAAGCTTATGATGTGTTTCTTGGAGAGTTTCCGCTATGTTACGGTTACTGGAAGAAGTACGCTGATCATGAGACGAAGTTGGGATCTCCTGAGAAAACTGTGGACGTCTATGAACGTGCTGTGAAATCTGTGACGTACTCTGTGGACATCTGGATGCATTACTGCGCGTATGCGATGGAGAAGTTCGACTCCCCGGAGAATACAAGAAGGTGTGTTGCAGGTTCTTATTGTCACTCGCGTTCGGGTGTATTACTTTTTACCTGAAAAGAGGGATACAGGTCATCCTCGATTCGGATGTCTTGTCAATTCATCTATTAGTTCATGCGTAGTGGTCGCGGTGTGTCTTTCTGACCAGTGTCTGATCTTGCTGCAGCTGTTCATCATGCACTTAATTTGCTGTCTCTTCAAAGAGATGGTCTGATCTTGGCGGAGCCCTGAGTTTCCAATTCGTAGGATGACATCTCGTAACTGAATCACCGTACGCTTTTGTTATGAATCCAAATATCTAGGTTTTTAAGTAGCCGTGTGTTGTTTGGTTTACTGTCACTCCATTCTTCGTTCTTTTCGATGACATTAGATATAGACTCTATAAGCCTGGCAAGTGTTTGTGCTTTCATGGTATCTCATGTTGCCCTATCTCAACTTAACATTGGTTGAGGTACCGTGCCATGCGTGCGTGCACCACTGAATCTTACGTCCCATTGCTGCTGTGGAAGATTACGGGTCCAGTTTGAGGGCCAAGAGAGGCTCCCTGATCGCCGCTATATGTTCGGACGTAGTATGGTTTGACAGGAAGGTAAACGCAGAGCATTTGCGCTTCTATTTGGAAGTATGAAACAGCAATGAAAGTTCTTCCTTACAACGCTGCCCCTTTTCCGCTAAAGCAAAGTAAGTCATAGCTTGAAGTGGGGTTGGGGGTTTGCTCTCTTCAGGTCTTTTCATGTTTTCTTATCGTTATGTTTGGCAGGATATTTGAGCGCGGAGTGTCGTTTGTGGGGACTGACTACCTTTCGCACCTCTTGTGGGATAAATACATCGAATTTGAATATTCTCAGCAGGATTGGAGTCGAGTGGCCCGAATCTACACTCGTATCCTTCAGATTCCTCTTCAGCATCTTGACCGATATTACACCAGGTCTTACTATCATGCTAGCACCAAATAGTCTCACAATGGCAGTAGCCTCGCACTTTCCTGTTGTACGGTTACAAAATATAATGAAGCTGTATGGTGTCTTTCTACGTGTTAAAATTGCTCTAAAAATGGTTTTGCTAGCGTATCCCTCGATCTGGTGTCTTGTTCAGAGGGAAGGTGGGTTCATCTAGTTTTTGCCACAGTTCGTTATCTTAACTGATTTCTCGGTCTTTTAACCAAAATGTGGCAACAGTTTCAAGCAAATTGCACGTAGCCGACCTTTGGCGGAGCTGTTGACTACTGAGGAGATTGCTGCTGCGGCTGCGGCTGCGGCTGAGCTTGAGGCAAAAGCCGCAGCTGAGGCTAATGTACAGGTGAGAGAAGCAGCTCAGGCTGGTGATGTGACTCCTCTTTCTGATGGTGATGGTGATGCTTCTGCTGTAACGGAGGCGGTAATCGAAGCAGTGACTGAAGCAGTAACTGAAGTAGTAACTGAAGTAGTAAATGAAGCAAAAACTGAAGCTGCTGACGGGGCAGACAACCCCGAGAAAGAGGTGGAATGCGGAGATAGCAAGGCGCTAGAAGAGTACTTGGCAGTCAGGGAAATTTTTTACAAGGCTGCGAAGGAGTGGGACTCAAAAATTAGGGATTTTGAGATAGCTATACGCAGACCTTATTTTCACGTCAAACCATTGGATGAGGCGCAACTTGGGAACTGGCATCGGTACCTAGACTTCGTTGAGAAGGAAGGGGGCTTCGAGAAGGTGAGATGGTTTGGGTGCAGCAAGTCGCTTGATGATCTCATTCTGAGACCTCTTGGGTTCATGCTGTTGTTTTGCGTTTATTTGAGGCCTTTGAAAGATTTTTCAGTTTGTCTGTAGTATTAGTACTATTGCTGAAAAATTTTATCTGGGTTGTTCAGACTAAGAAGCTGTACGAACGGTGTCTAATCGCATGTGCTAACTATCCCGAGTACTGGATCCGCCTCGTCCAGCGCATGGACACAGAAGGGCAACTTGAGTTAGCATTGGATGGTCTGCGGGGCGCCACAAGTATTTTTGTGAAGGTCTTAGACTTACTATTTTGTTGCTTCTGTACTAGCAGTTGTTCCTTTTAAATTTGGGATGGACGGCTTCACGCTCCTGATGCTGTGGGTCATCTGCTCTTTGGTGTGTTTTTTGTCATATATTCTGCTCACTGTGCTTCTGTGGGTTTACAGCGACGCCCAGAGATTCATCTTTTCGCAGCAAGGTTCAAAGAGCAGCATGGTGACGTGGAAGGCGCTCGGGTTGCTTTCGAAACATTGAGAAATGAGTTGGTTCCAGGGCTCCTAGAAGTCTATGTGAAACAAGCCAACTTTGAGCATCGTCAGGTAGCAGACAATAGTCTACTCTGTTAGAATTATATGTTCAAAACTTCAATGTGCACTCGTTTGCCACGTTAAGTTTTCTGGACTGTCTCAATTTTGTATCATGCAGTGGTTGAATGTGCGTATGATTCTGAGCAGGGAAATGCAGAAGCTGCTTGTGCTGTCTTGGATGCGGCTCTTCAATCTGAGAAACTGAAGGAGGAGTCCCGAGCTCTAACAGTATTGTACATTCAGTATGCTCGTTTTCTTGATCAGGTCAGTAAGCTGCAAACTTGCCTAGACTGTCCATGTCACTTTCTCCATTATTGAATCCTTTTTAGTCCTGACTCTCGAATTCCTTTTTTTGTTTTTTGTTTTTTTCTGCAGGTGTTGAGGAGTGAGGATAAAGCACGGGAATTATTCACAACAGCTTTGGACCATCTGCCAACCTCAAAAGCTTTATGGGAGGTCTGAGTTGATTTTGAGATTGAATGTTTGTGGATCTTGAGTTTTGAACTGCTTTTTGATGTGATTTGTTGAGATAGTTGTTTCATCAGACGTAGGCGACTTGTCTTTCCATGGAAACGTCGGTTAACGGACTAATGTGAAATCAACTACCAGGCAGCTATATATTTTGAGGTGTCGCATACAACCGGAGAAGAGCAAGTGTATCGTGTGGATGCTTTAGTAGAACGAGCCTCTGCTCCTCTCAGGCCTGATGGTTCTCCTGGTTTGCTTCTTGTTGATCGGGAAGAAATTTCAAATGTTTATCTCGAGGTAGGATTGGCAAGCCACAATTAATTGCTCTATTGGAAATATTCATACGCCTTGTATCGAACATTTCTGTCAACTTCAGGACAGTAGTATAGATCCATTATTGTACTGCATGAACACAACTTTTTGAAAGAGATGTGTCAGAAATACCTATAGAAGTTCATGTTTGCAAAGAAGATTCATCTTGCAGTTCATGCACTGAACTGCATTTTGTTGGTAGATAACCAGCGCCATCTAATTGTTTCCATTATCTGCGAATATCGGGTTTTAGCCCTTGAGCAATGAAAATCGTGGCACTTATGAGTCGTTTCGATGTAAATATGCAGTATGTTGACCTTTTCGGAGATTTTGACGCAATCAAGAAAGCTGAAGCCCGGCATAGGCAGTTGTTCCCCTCGCGGAAGAGTCTGCTAGACTCTAAGAAGAGGACATCCGCGGAACTGGCTGGTCCTCAAGCTAAAATCCTCAAACCGTATGTGGTTGCTGCAGTTACACCGTCTCCAGTTGCTGCGCCTGTGGTTATCAACGGCCAGGCATGGACTACCACTTCGTTTACTCCTCAAACTGCCTATTCTCAACCTCAATCTCAAGCATGGCAGCAACCAGCTCCACAGTTGCAGACACAGCAATGGAACCACGGGTATGCCTCCTATGGAGCTTACGCTACGTATGCTCAACCACAACCGCAACCTTCTGTGCAACAGCAGTCCGTGTACACCACCTATGCTCAAGCATACCAACCTCAGGTGATCTGCGCCTTTCTCAAAGCCTGTAATCATCTCTACTGCTTAACATGGAGACGGCCCTGCAGCACCCTTTACTTTTGATAATATTGTCCTATGTTTACACATTTGTTGACACCAGTTCTGATTGTTGTAGGAGGTTATTCAAACCTATGCACAAGTCCAGCCAGCATCCAGTTATGTTCAACCTTCACCAACAGCTCAGGTCCAGCCATCTGGCACCACAGTCTACTACGGGAGCTATTGCTGATGCTCTGAATAGTGACGTTAGGATGGATTAGTGACACAAACGGAGACTGTACATGTGTGAATGCTAAACTTGCATACTTTTGAATGTCATACCTCAAAATGCAGCTACACAACACTTTCTTCCCGACTAGCTCCGTGAAGTGGCTGTCAGAAGACAATCTGTTGTCCATTAAATATCAATATCTTATAACATGGTATTATCTTGTCATAATATCTTGTTCTCAAGCGATAGCACAATTTGTGACTATATCAGGTCAATTTGTTTTCTCGAACTGGCGAATAGAAAAGTAGTCATCGCATTCCCAAATGTGTGGACATAACATTAAAATTCAATCGACGAAAGTGAATGCAGCTATAATTCATGCATGTGACGTGGGAACGGAGAAATTTATCAATTTGCATCTAAACTCAAATGACAAATGTGCAAATGTACATATAATATTATCCCTTTCGAACCCGAGCATCACCCCGCTGTCGCAGTCTCCAGCACCGACCAAGCTCGCAATCCTGCAGCTCTGTCACATTGATGAAATTTTCAAATCCATCCAGGTCAGCCTCTCCCGTCCTAACTTGAAACTTAGGGTAGTCCTGCCCACTGTTCCTTTGCCTCCCCTTCACTACAAATACTCACCTACCTTTACCACTCTTCAACACATCTGCTCGCAACGTTAGTGTTGATCTCTGCGGGCTCATGAGTTCACCGTCATTTTGGTTTCAGTTAAAGTTGTACTGTGTCGATGTTCTATCTTGACTTGAGGTGAGTCTTAGTGATGGCGCGCACTAAGCAAACGGCTCGCAAGTCCACTGGGGGTAAGGCGCCTCGGAAGCAGCTAGCAACTAAGGCTGCTCGCAAGTCTGCTCCTGCTACTGGCGGAGTGAAGAAGCCCCACCGATACAGGCCTGGCACTGTGGCTCTACGCGAGATCCGCAAGTACCAGAAATCGACTGAGCTTCTCATCCGGAAGCTGCCGTTCCAGCGGTTGGTGAGAGAGATTGCACAGGATTTCAAGACGGATCTACGCTTCCAGAGTTCCGCGGTACTGGCATTGCAGGAAGCCTCTGAAGCATACCTAGTGGGTTTGTTTGAGGATACGAACTTGTGTGCGATTCACGCGAAGCGGGTGACCATTATGCCGAAGGATATCCAGCTTGCCCGTCGCATTAGAGGAGAGCGAGCGTGAGGTTGGACTCTTGCAGTACACAAGCTAACGGTGTTTCATAACACCACCTTCACTGCAACTCATAATTCCAGTTGTATCCGGTGTGCTTGCAACAGGATGTCACTGGTTAGGTCTGTCCGGGCTGCAAGAGTCTGCTGCATTTGAACAAACTGCTCACTTTTCAATGCTATTAAACATGTCTCGCAAGCTTTTTTTCATACCTGCCAAAAAGCTATCAGGGAGTTCCTGCAGCTTGCGCGACATGGATGGAATGGCCTCTTGCACAATATCCTGCATTCCTATGCTGATATGCTCCCTGTCTATTGCTGCTGTTTCTTTCTCTCTCTGTCCTAAAGTGATCCTTTCCCCTTTTGAATGAGGTAGCGCCTCTCTAGAATCTCCGCTTCGTGATGGCGAGAACCACACTTCGTCGGCTTCTCCATACCGATTGTTGCGCTTGAGCTCCCTTTGCATTGCATGACTAGCATCGTGGGCCGTAGCGGCATGAATTTCGCGATCTGTCAAGGAAACTTGATGACTACCATGAGGGTTATGAAAACTCTCATACCCTCGCTCTCTACCCTGTCCCCTGACGCGCTCGCTGCCAAGAGCACCTTGCAAGATTTGAGGATTCTTAATCATGGTATGATACTATGGCTTTGACTTTCGCCTGTCATAACCTCCCGATGGAGCTTCATTTCCTAAACTGCTATAAGAATTCTTCCAGCTTCCATGTGATACTTGCTCCTTACCAACAGCAAAACTGCTGACTCCCGCTAGAAAACTCCGTCTTTTCCATGGAAGTTTGCGTGAGCGAACAGCTTGGATTAAGACGAAATGGTTTTGAATTCGAAAGAGAATGAGATTCGGTAAAACCTCTTGAATGCGTCTGGGTAGGTGCCTGTTGGGAAGGACGTAAAGGAGCTCCACGTTGCATATGGGGTCGGCAACACGGGTCTCCAGAAGACAGGGCAGGAGAGGTTTCAGGTAAAGCAAGCGAAAGGTTAGCACCATCTCCTACCCGCTGTCTCTTCTCAATCCGCCTCTCCTCTCCCTTAACTTCCTCTCTGTCCCGTCCACCACCACTTAATCTCATGAAAAATATTCCAGCGGAGTTAGCTGCTACTTGATCACTGTTTTCTTGCCGTGAAGGGTATTCTTCAATCGAAGATACCAATTCTAAGTTTCTGACTTGTACACTCACTCTCCTCGGCCTTTCCAGATTTCCTTCTTTGAGGAGCTGTTTAGGTTCTATTTCTATGTGTTCGTGTTCAACAGGGAACTTCGGATCCCATTGTGATTGCTCTATAACTTCCTGGCCATCCACCTCCTCAGTCGCGTGCTGCTCTGAGCTGCGTATGATCTGAACGCCAGTTTCAGTCTCCGAGAAATTCATATTTACCAAGGCTGGCGCGACTGCCTCAGCCGCTATCATCGGTTCATCTCTCAATCCTACTGCACGTTCGCACTCACTCTCCTTCGTCTTGTCTGCTTCAAGTTCGTGAGCTTCCTCGTGCTTATGGTCATTATCAGGCAGCACCTCAACTACGGGATTCAGCTCGCCCTCTTCCCTTTCACTGCCTACGTCCGATCCGGTTTTCATGTCCAGCACCACTGCCTCATCCTCTTCTCTACTCAAGCTGTCTTTCTTCTTTTCTACCAATGCCTTGCATCCCTCATTATCATTCTCGACTGAAGAGCTCTGTACGAAAGAGTCTCGTTCGCCTTCATTCTTCCAGTCTTCCTCTGAAGGGCCTGCACTCTGGGAGCTTCCTGACTCTGTTCCCAATCGTCCAATGCAATGCTGGGTCCCGTTCTCGACTGCCATACAACTCGTCGCTACCTCCTTGGATCCTCTCGCTTTTGAACTTTCGTCTTTTCCATCAAGTTCCCGTTCAATTGCAGTCCTCTGGACGGAAACAGCACTATCTCGCAGTCTTTCATCTTCACCGCCCTTTGCAAACTCCCGATCTATTGCAGACCTTCCATGTAAACCTGAACCTCCGTCTCTTCGCTTCATAAGAGGCGAGACGAGTCGTTTCTCTCTTCCCGAAGTTATTCCAACCTCCTGTACGCATCCCGGTCCACTTTCTTCCTTTACTACTGCATCGTCGTACAACCCCTGCTTCATTTTTTTCGGTAGAAGAACCACCTACCAGTTTGCAGTTTCTGTCTTTCTTCTCAAAAGCACATCAACCTTCTCAGATTACTACCTCCCACTCCAGACATGTCCCAATACATCAAACGCTTTTTTAGACAGTACCAAGAAAAATCGCAGTAATCCCCCTACAGTCTGCTTTACTTCACAAATACCTTCCTCCACGCTCCAAACCAGTGAACTTGTCCAAATAATCTTCCACCCTCGATTGTCGAATTTCTATCCCCGCTCTTGAGACTCGAAAATATCCACTCCCCAACCTGCCACATAAGGTACAATCACTCGCTCCGCACCACCACCAAACCAAATTCACACACCTTTTTCACATCCAATGACAACTACCCCCCCCCCCCCCCCCAGGAGGAAGTTCACTCCACCTAAACGGAACTATACACCTTCAGCGCAGCATCGAACCGCCCCTGCCCGCAACTTCCAAATACCACAACAGACCGCTTCCTGAAACCCCCGCACGCTCCAGGCTCACGCCTACCCGACCCCGTAGAACCTCCACAATGACACTACCCCACGAGGCTCCACCCTCAACGATGACCACGACTAGTCCACGCCTCATTCACCTTCCGACCTCTCTCTCTTCCTCCGCAACGAACTCAACGTCAACCAAAACAAAAAATTAATAAAAATATAAAAATAACTTAATAAATAAAAATTGAACACAAAAGCCCATGCAAACTACAGCATTGAATCCCTTATTCACCCGCCACGGTTCATTCGCGGAGAGGAGAGGCGACGGCATCGCAAGCACAGGAAAGGAAGTGGGCATGGGCTATGGACATGGCCAAACAGCACCAATCTTTGAAGCTCTCTCTCGTGTCTCGTCTCGTCAAGGCTGTTTGCGCGGGGGATAGGCGAGGGACTCCGACTTGAAAGAGAGACTCGGAACTACAGAGAACGCCGACTCTAGTTTCAACTTGAGAATCCATTCCATTTCTAGTGAGTGGGCCGACCTGAGTCAACCTGGCTTAAGAGCAAACCCATGCTTAGTCCTTTCCCCCTTCTTTGTTTCTCAGCCCCTTCTTAATCTCTATAACTAACACGAGTATAAGTTTAGTGCACTTATTCCCTCCATAAAATAGTCTTAATTCCATTGATAGCAACAACGTTGTGAGTTGTGCTATTATTAGCTAAAATTTGTGTCACTTGGCTCAAAAATAGTTCTTGTAACCTCTAATTTTGTTCTTGTTTTTTTTTTTTTTTTTTTTTTTTTTCTTTGTGAATTTGAGTTATTCTCTAGTTGACAAAATAAAAACAAGAAGATAGAATCATAGTCAATAAGAAAAAGGCTTCTATCTATCTTTTCATACATTTTTATTTTTCAAGTAAAATATGTCTTTAATTATTATATAATTTTACTACCAAAATTAAATTTTATCTTCCAAAATTTTAGTTTTTAAAAAATTAAAAAATTAAAAAATTAAAATTAAAATTTACTTTTTGGCTTTAAGACATCATATTAAATTTTGAAGTAATTGTATTTACTATATATATATATATATATATATATATATATATTTGCAATGTCATCTTTTACAAGTTCATTTATTAAGATTAAAATTAATGATAGAAATATTTTAAAATACATATTATTTTGAATTGAAATTTTATCTATTTTATTATATAATATATAAAGTATAAATATATCATATAATAATATTGTAAAATTCAAGTAAATTTAAAAAATATATAATATCTCAAATAACAAACTCATGATGGATTTTAAGAGAGTTCAAACTATTATAAATCAGAAAACTTCTTACATTGTACAAAATATTTGATATTTTAAAGATTATTTAAATATTTCTAGATTATTATTACAGTTTTTTTAAAGTTGTTTGTCTATATATACAATTATGTTCTAATTTTACTATCAAATTTTATAAAAAGACAAACTTTAATACAAGTCAAAGTGTCAAGGAATCATATTTAAATTCTCTAAAGTAAATTGCAACTTAAAAGGTAGCTTTGTCAAGTACATCTACAAATATTTTTTGGAATATTATTTAATTATTATTTTAATTGATATTTATTTGTCCTGGATATCAGCTTAGTATTTATTATGTTGCACTAAAAGTTAACTTGATAATAAACCTTCAAATTATCAAATTATCAAATTACCAATCTTTAAGAATCATAAAGAAAATGGACTATCTATAAAGCAACTAGTTATGAAAGACCACCAGAAAATGACAATATTAAAGATAATATTGAACAAAGAAGTCAACAAAAAGTTATACAATAACATAACTAGCTAAGAAAATAAGGAGTTGAAAAAGTAAAGATAATATCTATTGAGGATTGGTATTGTTTACAAAATAGTGAGCATGAAGTAAGTACCACCAAAGGTTTGTCTTCTATCTAAATTTTTACTAGTTGTCTATTCTTTTTAATAAATTAGACAATAGTATAAGATAAATTTATTGCTCTATATTCCTTTCTAGATAATCCTCTATGACAAGATATCTATTCATATAACACCTTAAAAATAGAAATATAAAATTATCATGTCAAATAATTAGAAAGCTAATATGTATTATGCTAATAGTATGTATGTATATATATGTCTTAAACAACTCTTTGAGATAAATTAGTTAAACTTAATTGAATATGAAATAAAAAATTGATAATAATTTTAAAAATATGATCTTATTAATAATTGAAATAATTATTTTATTATTATATTTTTATTTTATTTTTATTACACATAAAATATATATATAATACTTAAATTATTTTTTATTATAATTTTTTTTTAGATTCTTAATAGTTTTTAAACAAGATAGGTAATATATATGTAATTAACCAAAATTAAATAATATTAGAGTAGCTCTTTTTAACTCTTCTATTTTATCACCAAATGAAGCACTTTATAGAACTGTACAATTTCAAGTACTTTTTGTGTCTTTTTAATTCTTATTTTTATAGAACAAGCTACAAGCACATTTTAAGTTGCTACATGCACATTCCAAATTACTATACACATACCCATAAAAAATAGAGGCCTCTCATTGGTTGGTTGTTGTTGTGTAGAGCCCACCTCCTAATCTCCCATACTATCTTTGTAAGTATCTAGCCCCTAATCCTCCTTGCTATCTTTTGCAAGTGTACAAAAAGAATTGCCCATTAAAGACCTCTATTTTTCTTAGTTGTATATACAATAGCATGGGATGTGCATATAGCAACTTGGAGTGTGAGTGTAGCAACTTGGCATATATTTGTAGCTTGAGCCTATTTTTATTTCAGTTATACATGATCTATTCTAACTACAAAGAATAGATTTATAATCTAAGTTTTGTGTTTCTATCTTGTATAAACTTTCACATCATCCAATTGTATTTAGTTTGTTTATATGAATCAAAATAAATATCTTGTCATAGAAGATTATCTAGAAACAATATGAATAGATATCTTGTCATAGAGGATTATCTGTGACAAGATATGAATAGATTCATGTAAAGTGGTTATCTATGACAAGATATCTATTCATATTGGTTCTAATGTATTTATCTATATAAATTTCTCCATTGATAGAATTTGATTTTTTTTTGTATTTGAACATGTATAAATAAGATGCAAAAAATAAAAATAATATCTTTATAAATCCTTTAAATTTAGATAAAATTATTTTTATTAATTTGATCTATTTCTAAAAATATTATTTTAAAAGTTTTTTTCTAATATTTTCTATTAATTTATGAAGAATTTATATAGTTTAATTTCATTTATATTTTTATATTAAATATTTATAAAATCTATGTAATATTATTTTTAGTTATTTTTTTCACAAAAAATATATTCAATTAAGATTTTACTTTTGGTTTGTGCTTTCCAAATATTGATTGGTATCTCTGTATGCCATATAAATCATTTAAGTATAGTTTTTTCTTTTTTTTCTCATTTTAAACCAATTATTTTTCTAATTGAAGGAGAACTTTTTGTAATTCATCTTTCATTTTGAATAAGCTTGAATTTAATAGTATATGTATTTTTTTTGTAAGACTTTTCAATCAGATTTAGCTATGTATGCTATAATATTTGGTCCTAAGACCTAGTAGTAAGCTTAAGAATTAAATTAAAGATTTGCAATCTCTAATCTTTAAATAATGACATACTATATTTTTTTTTATTTTTAGTTGTTAATTTCACTTATACAACTTTTCTAGCTTTTTTGGCAAAATTATCATGCTCTATTTTATTTGTTACCATTAGAGTTGTCTTATATGTTCATAAAGTCTTAAAAAAACTTTATGTCATTGTGCATAATTCTAAATTTATTATTTAATTTATAAATTTCAATCTTTTAAAAATATTGATAAGTGTAAATTTGAAATTTAACCATAAATTTAACCGTAACTTTAAATAAAAAAATATAAATACTTTTATGAATGTATGATCATCTTTAACCATACTTTTCTTAACTTGTACTAATCTTTTTATTATTTTATTTTTTATTTAAAAAAATAAAAATCACATAAAGTCAAGCTACTATTTGTTTGAGATTCTTGGTGATTCATGCATTAGTCTATGAATTAGAAAGTTTTGGAAGTTAGACTGACCATAATAAAGAGCTTGTATCACCTATTTTTCTATTAGATTTGTTAATGCTTTTTTATGGTCAATAATACCTAAGCCACATTTTCCTTGTACTTTACAAAAACTATAGTAATTTACTTTAATTTGGATTGACAATTAGATTTTTTTTTCTATGAAAAATTGCATACTTTAGTTAGTATCTTCTATTTTGTTTTTTGAAATTTTATCTTAATTTTTTAAAAAATAGATTAAAGAGAGTAATTTTTTTTATTATAATATCTTTTCTAGCAAGACTTATTTTATTAATCACTAGTAGTTTAATTTTTTTTTTTTTGGACCTATCTACCAAAAAAATGGTTGATATCTTGAGTTTTAAGAATCAGGTTAAAATTAATACTTAAACTTTTTAAAATTTTAATTATAATTATCCATGTTCATCTAAATTTGTTAGTCCAAATATTTTCAGTGAGTATTTTGTATTCCTAATCAGTTAAAAATATAAATAAGTTGATTTTAAGTTTTAGGGCTAATCTAAATTGTTTTAATATCTTTTATTCTCTTGGAGACTGAGGCTTCTTCTTTATAAGTAGATAAGATTGAATTTTTTACATATTGACATAGAATATATTCTTTATCTTTTTCTTAAAATAAAATAATTTTAATATTTTTATAATTTACTATTTCTTAATCAACTATACTAAGAGTTTCTTCTACTATTTAAAAAAGATATGAGACAAAAAGACATCTTTACATGACACCATTGTTTAGGAAAACTTATTAAAATTACTACCATTAATGCATATATAAGCTTTTTCGCCTTCAAACATCACTTGTATTATAATAATAAATTAATATATATAGAGAGAGTTGAATGTTAAATTGATCCAAGTTTTTATTAAATCGATCCATACATCCTAACCATTATAAAAAGAAATAATGATTTTTAGATTCATTTTCCCATTATTGGATTTGCAACTAATAAAAACCAACCACATTTATATTGATTATCATATTCTTCATCAAGGGTGGGTCTATTTAGTAAAAGAATGGGTCTACTTAATATTCAATTATAGTCCTAAAAAAAAATCATTTTTTTTTTTATATGCCTTAAAAATATAATTTCAATATTAACAACAAAGATTAGAAGATTTCGTCAGGTTTTTTCTAAGTTACTAATATAGAATCTAAAATATGTATTGTAGAGGAAGAAAGGCCATTTGATTTGGATGTATAATCTCCTCAATCTCCATAACAGTTTTTGTAAAAACTCTTAGTAGAAATATTAAGAGGTATAAACAATATACATATATATTATGTGTATTTTAATAAAAAAATATATTATGTGTATTTTAATAAACAAATAACAGTTTTTGTAAAAACTCTTTAGTAGTAGAAATATTAAGAATTACTTGGATCTTAAATAAACAAATAAGCATATATAGTACGATAAGTTCTTCTAGGCATGTGTGTTTCTAGTGTACAGCATGCGGTCACAAGTCCCACCTCCAGTTTTATCTTCTAGACGAGAGTGTAGTTCCAGAAAGCAGAGACTGTTCCGAAAGGTGAATGAAACCGTTTCTCATGAATGTTAGACTCGTGTATAATTGTGAGAGATCTGCTGCTGCTCGTCCTATGGTGATTTCATTACACCGTCAAAGTAGTCTTCGCCAAACTATAGCGTCCTAGGGGACTCCATACTTGGTAGGAGACCATCGGGCTTGTCGACTATGTCTTATTTCACAAGGAAAGTGCAGAAAGTTCTGAATGATGATTTTAGCAATTTGTTAATATACACTAGCCACCATTTCATTGAACGAGCGTCACACAGAATGTGTCATTTTAGATAAACAGTGGGGTCAGATTGGACCAACAACATGCTGTTGTGATAATATCACCTCTTAATGACACGGAAACCAGGTGATCTGCCTTGCAATTCTGGATCTGTCCCAGCATTAGGTTCATTGTTTGTGATTTTATGAAACCAAAGTTTCTTAGAGACGACTTGGCAACAGCAACAAGATGTTGCAACTTTGAGAGCCCGGTTGGTCTGGAGCGGAGCGTACGTCATGCCTGGCTTTCCTGTAACAGTGGCTGCTGAATGATTGCCTTCTAGTCAACTTTGTTAGGCCTTGATCGGACAGGGCTTCTTAAGGCTGACGAAATTAACTCAGCGTTCTCAGTTTCCAGCTTCACAATGCAGATTCCAGAATCGATTTTAATGTCAGCAAAATGTAAGTTTAAATTATATATATATATATATATATATATATATATATTGGTTGTATAACTTCAAGTTCAACTTTGACGACAGTCGCACTGTGTTTCACGATCAATTTTGAGAAATTGACAGCGATTCGTACCTGGAGATTCTGCTGGCGTGCCTGTTGCAGGAGGATTTCCGTTTGCTTGGCAATATCCACTTCCTGCGACAGATTCTTCACAGAAATCTCCAAGCGCATGGACTTCTTTCGTTCCTGCCACCATAGCACAGCATATGTGATTCTTGATGCTTGCATTAAATTATCGTGTTGAGTTCTTGTAAAATAAGCTAGACATGCAAAGTCAAATACATAAAATAAGTTCTGAACTCTAAATTTGCAGCAGCACACATATGTAGTGTGCAACGTATCCTAGTATGCTAGTATGCTAGTAAAATACTGATAAGAGATAATTTGTTTCTACTTCTCTTTCCATCATCTTTATTTCAAAAGAGCTAACATTTATTAAGTAAAGATTATTTATGGTAACATACTAGGTCTACTATCCATTGCCCAACATTAGTGCGAGAATTTTGTTAACAAACCTCATTTAGCTCAAGACGAGCGTCGCGCAATTTGCCTAACAGTTTCTCGTCATTCGCTGTCAGTGATTGCAATTCTGCCATGGAATTATCGTAAAGATTCTGCAGATTCTCTAGCTGTTGCCACGTCTCAATCATTTGAACAGAGGCTTCTTGCGCGGACTGCATATTCTGCTTCAACACATATTCCTCCAAGTCACCGTTTTCTGCCTGTGCACAGAGCATCCCGGCGAAGGACCCTCCACCAATGAGGAGGAGGTTCAATGCGTTGAATTGTGATAAAAAACTGAATCAAATCACGGACATACCATGTTGGCGATCTCACGAATAGTATGAGATACACTTGCGGAGATTATTCTCACAAAAAAATTTAGCCACACGGAAGAGTACATGAATTACCTGGCAAGAAACATCTTGCATACTCTGCGAAGATCTAGACTCTGCTTTTCTGGACAGTGGTCGTTGAGATAGGTTTGATAATTGAAACTGCAGATTGAGGTTCTCCGTCTGCAGGTTCTGAAGCTCCTTGCGCAGTTCCTTTGCCCCCTAATGACAACAATAGGATTCGAATGGATTCAGTACGAAATGCAGTCTACATTCGAATGATACTGAATCTAAAATTGCGTGGACAGACTTTTGTGGTGGAATCTGAACCTTCTCGTAATAGCCGGAGCTCGCAGAGCTTAAATCACGAGGAGTGACGACATGTGTGGTCCGTCGCGCATGCCTCGACATAATGTCCAGTCTTGTTTTCAAGCTGGTGATGTCAGCCTTGCACTGCTTGTTATACTCATTTACCTTGTCAAATTCCCTTTGTTTATCTCGTAGCTTATCGTCCAACTCTCTCACTCTCTGCAATCCCCTCATTCGAGTCATGAAAAAATTCAATCCCTAACTCACCATTATCAACGCCAACGCTGAAAAATGGACATTAGAAGACAATTCTCATTCAAGACATTTTAGGACATTATGATTTGATGAAATTGGAGCAGCTTGATTCTAGAGACTCACTTGATCGGTGTAAAACGTGTGATTGACGGCCGCAATTATATTAGTTTTCATTTTACTAGGCTCCAAAGACCGTTGGAAGCAATCCCTTATGTTTCGTTTTGCTGCATCTTCGGCCCTAGATAGCTTGGCAAGCAATCTGATGCAAACCACAGCAGTATTTAATAATCTTGGAATTTAAATGCTATTTCACCGACATTACAATCAGCTGTAAATTGGACGCGAGGAGCCTCACAGTTTGTGTTCCTCGTCCCTTGCATTTGCTTCTTTCCGCAGACGATACACCTCACTTTGCAGTTGCAGAAACCGTTCCTCAGATATCGGACCTCCTTCGAGCACACGCCGCTCTCGTCTCGACACACTCAAGGGTCCGAAACTTTCAAACTGGCTTGAGTGAGCCATAGCTCCGTGTGCACAATCACATGTTTTACGGGCTCATTCTACCCCTTCGCAATCTTCAGAGATCGTGGCTTCCGGGTGGACGATTTCCACTAAAGTTGACGCTATTGTCGTGTCGGAATGCTTAGTTACGACAGAATAGGTCTCCCAATGGCTCTCCCTTCTCGACACGGATCTAGAGCGGTTTTACTCTAACATTCTCCGTCGCTGATGATCGCAAACAGGTTATGGGCTGATGGCCAAGAAGACAAACCCTCTCTCACGCACTGAATATTCTAAGTGCACGGAGAGATAAGATGCTCACCATCACTTTGGACGTTGAATTTCAATAATCTTAGCTGTTGGCAACGGCAAGCTCATTGCTATGGTGGTTGTTCAGGCGATCAGTTGTTCACAGATTGAATGAATATTGTTCAAAAGAAATGGTTGCGCCAACTGAATTGCTTGTTCCAATTAACTGCTTCATGTGCAATGTGAATACAAGACATTTGTTCACGGGAAACGTCCATAGACAAACATGCCTTTCCAATCCAAAGAAATGTGAGACAAGACATGACTTCTCAATTTCAAAAAGCACTTACTTTTTGAAAAGCCACCAACAGAATCAATGCACAAGCTAAACAAAGCAGCTTCTGGCAGATTTCTCGCCATACAGGCCTGTGACAACTGCTCTTCAACTGAATCAGGGTTGTTTCGCATCTGGAACAAGGCCTACACATCGTGTTTTGAACAAGCCACTCGCGCTTGTACCTTATCAAAGAAGTACCAGCAGTCGTTCGTGTCGAACCGCTGCAAATCTATGCAGCTTGAACTGACCGCAGTGAATGCTACACGATGATACATCCTTTCTCAGCAGTAGAAAATCTACTGAAATCTTGCTCATCCTACATGACTACACTAGCAAAAACCAAGCTCAAACATGTGTAGATACACATTAAGTCCCTTTTCAAACTCCAACACATAGAAGGAGCTGAACTTCTGTTTACCCTAATCAGTTAGTAGGCTCATTGAGTTTCTTCTGCACTGGTTTGATTTCACTGGAGGTTCATACGATTCATGAGTCACCAATTGTTTAGATCACAAGACATTACAACTGTAAAGCATAGTCCTTTTAACCACGATAATGTTGTGCTGGACAACTTCCAAGGTGTACAATGCCATGCCTTTCACAGTGAAACGATAAGATACGACACCACTACATAAAGATTCACCCCAAATGATAGGGGAGCTGAAAGGAGCATAAATTGTAGATACGAGGCTAACTGCCCGCAGCAACTCCACAATTCCTTCAAGAGACCAAGGGTCCAAATTCTAGCTTAAATCTAGACTGAACAACAACACAATGCAATATTTCATGGATTTTTGAAGGTGCGATGAAGAAATATCAATTCATTAAGCCCCGAAAACTTTGGTAGCAAAGTCCTTAGCCACTGTCAAGGCCTCGTCAATGCCAGCAGCATTTCCACCCTACAGTACAAAATCCGTGGTAAACCGTCAGGTTTGTGTCCGTAGATATGATCATCAATGTTATCCAGTGTGACTTAATTTCGACTGCATCGGTCACCAACGTTAAGTACAACTCTATTTTTTGGCTTCAACTCAAAATCCAAAGAGGCCGAAAAGACGTTACCTGTCCCTGTGCAAGTCCGTTTTTGCCACCACCACCTTTGCCGTTGACGGGGGCCAAGCTTCCCCGTAGCCAATCCAGTACTTTTAAACCCTGTTTGGCAGCAGAATCAGGCACACCTGCGTACACAAGCACCTTGTTCTTCTGCTCATCAACACTAAATATCATCACTGCCAGGTCCTGCAACAATCCAGAAAACCCAAATGTCATTTACCATCCGCAAGTCAAAAGCTAATTCTCAAAGCAATGAGACAGCTAGTTGGTTTACTTGATGAATATGCAAATAAGAAAATTGCAAGGACCGAAGACACGCAAGTTGCGCAGTAAATCACAAAAATTAAAATATTTGATGACAACACCCCTAACAGACCTTGTGCTTTTCCATTACGAGGGTGACGGCCTCCCTGACAGCATTGGTATCCAAACCAACATCAATTCTAAGCACACAGAATGGTTGATTTTGAGCAACTGCAGTATCAGCAGAAGACACAGCTCCATTAAGTGCCGTTTGCAAATTCGACCCTGCAGCAGCCTTCTGAGCCTTCCTAATCCGTTCCTGGAGCCAGTAATGGTTTTCATCAGAAAGAAAGCTTCAAGTTAATTGACCACTTTTGAATACATCAATTGTATACAAACCAGCAGTGATCGTGCTTGAAAAATCACCTCAGAGACAACAATCATACATTCTTGAACGTTGAAATTCTCACATCTCACAGACAAAGCAACAACAAAGTGCACTTAAAATTTTCCATTGCTGAAAACAATCCAAAAAATAGCTCAATTCCGGCAAAGTTAAGGAAACATGTACAGACATGGAAAATACTTAGCAACTGGTTTCTGTTAAAATGTACCTGAAGTTCGCCCAATCGAGTACGAAATTCAGCCTTCTTGGCGGCTGGGATAACAACGTTTTCTAACGAATTTTTTAGGGATGCAACTTCCTGCATTCACGATGAAGCTAGTCTGTAAGGGACTATGTAGACAATAAGATGTCTCGGTGTATTAAAAACGACCTTTACGATAGCAAACTGAAATCAAGCCCATCCTATGATACTGTTCAGTGTAATCAGGACATGGTAAAGAAACACAGAAATAGTGATCATAAACAGAAGGGCAACAACCTACCTTTTCAAGAGCTGGACCTTCCAACTTGCTAGCCTTATCAATTTGACTACTGAACACTTCACTTTGATGAATGGCTTCCTTTGCGGCACCCATCGTAAGTGCAGTTACTCGTCTTACGCCCTTTGCAATACCCTCTTCTGAAACCAATGCAAAGGCTTCGGCTTCCTTCGTGTTGCTCAAGTGGGTGCCTGATTCCGTGCACACCTCAAATGTAAGAAAATAATGTATCCGAATTTTTGTCGGAAGACTGAAGAAGAAATAGACAACAGGGGCAACAAAGCATATGCTGCAAAAGCCAAAGAACTTTTAAGGAACGAAAGAGACGAACTAATAGACAATCTGAAACTATACGCTAATAGCACGTTATTAAGCTATTCTACAGTCTAATCATGTGACTTCGCAGGATAGCTTGACAAGAGCTGTACCTCCACAGAACTCGGTGGACAGTTTGGCCCAGTTTGGATTTTCAGGATCAGCAAGAAGATCCTCAACGGGCCTTCCAATCGCAACAACTCGTACAGGGTCGGGATAAACCTACAGAAATAAGGACAGAATGATACTAACCTAAATCTTCCTAAGCTATTCATCAATTCTGATGCTCAAGCACATCTAAGATTTTGAAAAACATCTTAAAAGATCTAAAAAATTTGACAATCTCACAAACCACATCATACATGAAGTTAAAAAGAGTAACTTTGACGAACATTATAGAACAGCAAGGTTGACAAATACCTCGCCAAAAACAGCACGAAGACCCATGATCCGCTTGGCCTCAGCCAGGCTAGCTTCCTTCGCATATACCGTCATTCCATCACGAATCTGCTGTGCTACTATGGCCTCAATTTCCCCTAAATCCTTAGAGTCGATTGGTTTGCCTGCGCATAAACCAGGACCAAAAAAGATTCAGATAAATTTGAGAGTTTCCCTTATGTTTGTGGATAATGTCAGAAGCGACAAAACAATCAAATAGCATGCTACTTTTTCATTTCCATTTTCTTTCAACGAAGTACGGATCATTTGTAGGAATGAAGGTTGATGAATCATACCATGAGAAAAATCGAAACGCAGCTTATCAGGGGCAACCAAAGAACCCTTCTGATCAATATGGTCTCCCAACACTTCCTGTAAGTTCGTCATGTCAAAAGCCAGTACATGAATAACGGTTCTCATGGCTAGATAAGTAGTAAATCAAGGAAGTAGTCCACCAATGACTAACTTGACCAACCAGACAGCAAGCGCACGACAAACGTCGAGTATGGTGCTGATCACATACTAAAATTGGACGAACAATTGCAGAACAAGAATAAATGTCATAACTGGAAGACAGCGATTAAAAGAACCTAAAGAGCAACTATTTTATTGCATGTGGGTGCTAACTGTGGCAGAACCTTAAGGGCATAATTCAGAAGATGTGTGCACGTATGGTTGGGAGCGACGACTGCACGTCTTGCATAATCCACCTATTGCATTCACCCATAATCACGTCTCATTCAAATGCCATCAATCGACAAAAACAATCTTTCTTGACATTTCAAAATTACAAAGATATGACGTGAACATAAAAACCATGGCAAACTATCGCAATAAAGGTGGATGCACTTGATATCCTAATAATAAGTCAGACAGGTACAATCTGCTTCAATGATACACTTTCATAAATACCTGAGATGTGACTTTGTCTCCAACAGAAATTTTACCACCATTGTTTATTGAGCCAATGTGAAGAACATAGCCACCATAAATCTGGACCTCCCTCACTGTAAAAGCACCATTTGGACCTTCCAAAACTCCCGTATCATAAATCTGAGAAAGATAATCGATTCATGAATATTGTGTCTCATCACGAAGAAAAATGTCTTTAGGGATTTTCGCATCGGTAACTTGGCATTTGATGTTCGTGGAATAGTTGCTTCACACGACTAAAAACACAACATGTATGAATAAAAATCTCAGGGAACATGTATTAACCTGCCCTCCTTGTTCGGCGTAGTAGCTTGTAGTATCCAGAACAATACCCACATCTTCATCAGATGTGGATTCCTCAAACCCTGATGAGGTGAAGATGGCCTTGACAGTTACGGTGGGATTCTGTATCAGCACAGAGGTAGCACCAAAAGCCATAATAGTTAGTAGCATACAATCAGAATCCATCGATAGAAAAGAAGCCTGGAAGGAATTACGAGACACGAACTATCATATAACATGGAGCTATTACCTTGTGCCATATATATTTAGGCTTATCATCCGTTGGCAAAATTCCAAGCTTTTGCAACTGAGATGTCGCCTCTGCCTCCATTACTAAAGCCTTGCCTCCGGCCTGATCCATGAAGCACATGACCAAAATTTCACGCGTTTGACAAAAGAAAACTTGAACTGGGGAAGGCAAACACAATGAAATGTTCACCTTGATGTACAAAATAAGATGTGATCACTGGCATACCTTCCCACGAGCACCTCGAGCCTTCTCTCGGGCCTCTTCCATGGTCCTATTAAACCCTTCCTTGTCGACCTTGAGTCCCATCTCCTCTGCCATAAGCTGCCAGTGAAATAACTCATTGTCAGAGATGCTGGATGCCTTCCATAAGAACAATTTGCTGATTCCATCACCATTCTAAACCACAGTTCGGTCGTTTATTCAGTTCTTAAAATTATAAGCGAACATGTAAATTACAGTTTATAAATTCAATGATTCCAGTATCTACCTGTATATGTATATAAAGTTAGTAATATACTGAAATATGCTCAACACCAAACCGTTCCAAGCGCACTAATGCACGAGAAGAGACACATTACATGCAGACCCAAACCGTCAGATTAGAGTGGAAGGACAAACCTCTGTAAGATCAATAGGAAACCCAAACGTGTCCCACAGAATGAACGCATCCTGCGGAAGGAACGAAGTCAAACAAAAGCGTTATGCTAACATGAGATGATATCATCACTAAACCGAGATTACAGGGGGAAATCAATTCTTGCTACAGTTCTTGTAACAATTTCAAAAGGCTGCGAATTTCCACATGGCATCATGCCGTGGTAACTCAGTCTAAGTTTGTGAATACCAAGACAAAATTTAGCTTCTAATGAAATCACTGCAATGAATACCTGCGCACCAAGAACACCGTCCTTTACTTCTGCGGCTGCCTTCTTGAATTTTTCGATACCCTAACCAGGATTCCAATATGATAAGCCGAGAATTAGCCTAGAAATGGATGGATCAAGTAGGCCGTAAATGCTTCAAAAGGTTCCCACTACCAAATCTCACAAGTTCAAGGAATGCACCGTCAAAGATTTTCTTGCTCTTTAAAATAATTCAATGTGGAAGATCCAATCACCTTCACCAGGGTGCGACTAAAACTGCTCTCTTCCTCTGAAATGATTTCCTTAATCTTTGCCTGATTCTTCTTAAGCTCAGGGAATGCTTCGCCCATAACTTCTACAACAATATCTACCAATCTGCAGGCAGGTACCAGGTTATTCTAAAGCAGTCCCTTGATAATAACGCTCGATTATACCTTTTCTTCGTCAAAAAGTGCGAAAAACAAGAAAAACTTACCCACTGAAAAAACCTTCCTGAGCTTTCAACACTTCTCGCCCATAACGAACAGCTCTTCTTAACATTCTACGCAAAACATATTCTCGCCCTTCATTACCTGCACAGCAAGAGCAAATCCTTAAAAAGAGTGTAAATAACAATTGGAAGTATCATGCAGAGACCCACAAAATTCGTAACGAGATTAGTTACATTCCCAATCTTCCTCTATGCAAACTCTAAGAACGCGAAAATAAAGAAGAAAGTAAAAGCAAAATCTTGAAAAATGTCAAGAATCTATATTTATGCTCCATACTGCAACTGCGTATTTTAGCTGCTTAATGAACTTCGGTGGACACCGATGCAGCACATTCAAAGAAAAACAAAGTTTGAAGTTATAAATACCGGGGCGTGAACCATCGGCAATCGCAAATGAAAGTGTTCGAATATGGTCAGCCACAACTCTGTAAGCCATGTCGACGTTGTCGGTATCATCTTTTCCAACTTTGCCTGAATACTCTCGAGCACCTGTAGCCTGTAAATGATATCCACGACGAAAATCTTTAAGTCCTACAGCTGTACAATTTGAATTTAATAGTAAAAAAAAAATAAAAAATAAAAATAAAAAACTTCTGGTAAATTTATCGACTACTTTAGTGAGGCCACAAATCTAGCCTGTCCAACTGCACAAACACGGAGTAGCAGAAAGATCAAGCATGTCAACTTCAATGGCCAACCTTCTGAATTGCTCCAAAAATTGGTGTAAAGAGGTCAGTGTCATAATTGCTCATCTTCTCTTGCAAAACTGATGTCACCCTTTCAAATCCCAGTCCCGTATCAACATGTTGGGCCGGCAATACCTTCAGAGACCCGTCCTGTTCTCTGTTGAACTGCAAGGCGAAAACTCCAAGTTTGCTCAGGCTCGCTCAACATAACTTGAATGCAAAACTAAAAGAGACCGACTCAGTAAACAAATTTACTAAAAAGATGCTGATTTACCAGAAATAGTTGCAACTAGAATGATTTCACGCTCTAAAGCTGTAAACTGATAATCTAATTTCAACTGGTGTTACAGAAAATTAAGATGCAGAATCTGGGGATCAACCTCTCATTACAAGTCAGCTGCACGTGCTTCCGTTGTTTGGAAACGAGGAGTAATTGTACGAACCTGTATAAACACCAAGTTCCAAATTTCTAAGCAATTCGGATCATCCATGTTCACCAACGAACTAGCATCCCGACCTCCTATTCTGTCGAAGTGAATTTCTGAGCAAGGTCCGCAGGGGCCAGAGTCACCCATCTCCCAAAAGTTATCCTGCAACGTAAATATCATCCGTTCACAGCTTTGTCAATTTCCCACAGGAAAAAACATTGCATAAAACTTCGACATAATCAAAACGAAAGACAAATAAATAGCAAGGAGCACAATAAAGGCGTTAGCATACCTTGCACCCAAAAGGCAAAACATGAGACTCTGGCAATAGGCCTCTCCAAATGTCTCTTGCTTCATCGTCCGCTGCTAATCCCAAATTTTCATCTCCTCCAAAATATGTGGCATACAAGCGGTCCTTGGGCAACTTGTACACCTGCAGACAAAGAGCTCCGGAAATCAAGATGAGTACACATAGAGAATGAAATAAAATAGAAGCAATTTGACAGAAAGAAAAACCCTAAACCCTAAAACTCCCAACAATAGAGGAAAAGAAATAAAAATAAATAAATAAAGTAGTAGGAGCCTAACCGATGTGAGCAACTCCCAGGCCCATGCAATAGCTTCCTTCTTGAAATAGTCACCAAACGACCAATTTCCAAGCATCTCAAAGAAAGTGTGATGATAAGTGTCCTTCCCAACATCGTCGAGATCGTTGTGCTTGCCGCCAGCGCGGATACATTTTTGTGTGTTACAAGCGCGTTTAAGGTTGCCCCTGGCGGAGCGGGGATCCACAGTGCCAAGGAAGATAGGTTTGAACTGGTTCATGCCGGCATTGGCAAAGAGCAGAGTGGGGTCATCGACGGGAACAACAGGGGAGGAGGGGACAAACGTGTGGTTCTTCGATTCAAAGAACGAGTTGAAAGTTTCGCGAACTCGATTCGCGGGCCAAGCGAAAGAGGAGTCCATCTGCATAAATTATCCATAAAATAACTAAGGACTTGACAACCAAGTTAACTCTGAACCCAACGTCACTCACGATCTAACGTAAAGTTAAAAAACAAAAATTAAAAACACTACTCCAACTCTCATAAACTCGAACGGACACATAGTTGCAATTCAGCAATTCGGTAACAAAATCTCTTGTAAACACTACTGACTTATTCGACGCAGCTTGTTTGTTAACACCTTGTCTAATTAACTACGAGAGCACTAAAGCCACTCCGCAAAAACACGGAAACAAAAAGGTGTAGCAAGATCTATGCTGCTGGAACCAGAAAGTAACTGAAAACAGGCAGATGAGAATGCGGCAAAGGAAAAAGAATAACAAAATCTCGCTAACCTACTACTTCACAAACACTCACATTAACACCTCCCAACCGAAATCGACGAGCTCACAGCATCCCATCAGACCCGTGACCATTAAAACCCCAAACCTCGATAATTGGGAAACCCTTTTTCTCAAATCCCCCTTAAGACAGCACTCCAGACAGACGCTTCCATGACAATCCTATACAATTCCATATCTCACCTTATCCGAGCCGCCCGTGAGATAAACGGACTGCGCCGCCTCAACGAGATCATCAACCACAGTCGGCGCCATGTTGCCTGCCGCCCAAAGCTAACTAACAGTAAGTATGCCGCCGGTATCTCAGAGATCAGACCTTCTGAAACCCAGCTTTCCCGACTTGGGAGAACTACAACGGCAATGCATAGAGGATCATCTCGGCTTCTCCCTAAATCTTCAGAACCGATCCTCACGTTGAAAGAAACCAAGAGGAGCTCTCGAGAGTCTCACGCTCGAGAGATCCCTTAGCCGCGGGAAAGATGGCCCTATCAACGCGTCGTCTCTTTCCCCCTCACATGCCGTTTCTCATTGTCATGATTCATATCATCGCATCCAAATCTTTTTCTGTTTTCGTGCTTTCGAGCTCCTTGTCGTAGTTTCGGCTTTCAGCATTCGAGCTTTTGATTCCAGGACTTGCTTCGACAGCGCAGCTTATACTCATACACTCTCCCCCTGTGACTCAATTTATTGGATGATCGCTGGCTCTCGTTGCGTCGCGGAGGTTATTGTAGGCATGTTACTTGGAGAGTCGGTTGTCATGGCTGATTGTGTTTTACGATTACATGGAAAATCTGGGTAGATTGCGGTACACTTGGTTCTGAGTCCGATTTCACGTGAGGCTCCTGATCTGCTGATCAAATTTGCGAGGTAAAGAAAAATAAATGAGAAAGAAGAAGAGGAAGAAGACAGGCTTAGGGTATCTAGTGAGGGATGCATCAAGAGCTTCAGCCTCAGCTGTTTCTGAAGCAGTTTGATTTGATCAGTAATTTGGGAATGATTGTAAAAGTGAATACTGTGTTGCGTGAAAATCGGCGTCGGAAGATGTTGCTCTACGTATGAAGAATAACCAGAGGATCTCGACCAAGTATTGGCAGGCTGCGGAAGGTTGTAATTGAAATTTCATAAAACGGTTTTTCTTCCTTGGCAAATTCAAAGACGGGCAGGTAATTTGCGAGTTGGCCGTGGTATAAGCTGGAGTGAAGAAGTGAGCATTCTTCAAGTGACTTGCAAAGTTGATTGCTTGTCACTACTTGGTAATTAGGGTTAGATATTTGCTCAGTAACACTTGTGCCGTTTACTCTGGTCATATAAATTTTTCCTCGCCATTACAGCCTGCGATAATCAGCAGCAGAACGTATAACCTAAGTCCACACATCATGGACTGTGACCTCCTGGACCTGACCTTCTCTAAAGCATCAGTAGAATTTGTTCAAAGTGCAATGGACATGAGACCATGGATCTGGGATTAGGCACACTCTAGCAGGTAATAGTCCAGTTTAGGATGCGAGATTCAGATTCATGGCTTCACAAATACTCCAGCATAAGCTGCGTTACCTGATAGTCATTGAGATGGAATTATTTTCTTCAGTGGCGACTTCTGTTCAATTTTCTTATTTAAGGTGACCTTCCCATGAGTGTTGATATTTTTAAAGCGACCGTTCATGCTCTTTACTACCCTGGTCCGTGTCTACGTTTCACGTGGAAAAGATTTATTCTCTGGAGAGCATGATGTTGATTGTGGCTGCGTTCAATTCCTGAAGATATGAAATAATGGATCTATGCACATGCTCAGATTTTAAGACTCTGCCACTTGTATATCGTGATTAAAATGATTAGGTCGCTTTTCAGTGTATATTACAGTATGAAAGAACCAGTTCAGATCTTGACTAAGTGGTTGCACTTGCTTTCGGTATCGACGAATCAAGATTTAAATGCATGGCGGAATAGCTCATGTTGTGAACGGAAGTTGTTAGTGCGCGATTCAATGAGTCGATGCCCCTTCCCGCAGTTAAAAACGTTCTTCTATCTAGAATTCATTTATTCATTATCAGCAAAGTAAACTGGAGATGAAGCACGACGTTTCTGCTTGTTCCATGTTCATAAGACAGACCTCAACTTTTGTTTGGAGATGGAAGTAGTCCGCAAGCATCGCTTGAAATTCAATAAGTTTGTATGCCTCCCTTTCAGACCAAGCAGCAAGACGAGATGTCAGAACTGCTCTTTCGACATCGACCACTAACCAAATTTGAGCTTTCTTTCATATCAAGGGACGGTAGGCGTATAAGAAGTGATTCGGCAACAGCAGAAGGGCTAGGAGAGACATTGTGAGCTATGAAGCGTTGTTTTTCATAGAAGGTTTGCCCTGTCGACGAGTTATGGCTCATCTCTACATCGGTAACGGTGATCAAAATTCTCAACCTTACACGCTGAGAATCCTAGACAGATTTTCTAGGTCAGCGGACAAAATTGCTACATCGTATGAAACCACGTCGAGGAGATCGAAGCGCAGTCTGATTGATGATACGGTAATGTACATAGTCAAGTATCCCAGAAGACATGGATTTCTGCGGCTGTGTACGAGGCACACAACTGAACTCCACCACTAACCTCTCCGCGGAGCCACTTCTCAGATTCACAGTGCGTTTTCGACCATCGTCTGAAAAAGAGGGCCGGATATAAGCATTTTATGCTTGTTTGACAGCTGTAAATGTAGTCACAAGATTGATTTGCCCAAGAACACGCGGGCGAGAACCTCATCTGCGAACATTCGCGCCCGAGAGTTGCGTGCACGATGTCGCTTCATTGCCTCTTTCGAGATGCTTCTTCGCATTCGAGCAATTGCTTCAGCTGCAAGAAAATCGATGCTTTGTTAGTCTCATGAAGCTGAGGGTATTTTAAGAGTACCGGGCTAAGTGAAAACTTCCACATGAAAAGACAGAGCTAGTGTGAAGCAAATGCGATTAAGAACCTTAGATGTAGGTCGTTTTGATGTGATAAGGCGTAGGTGATCGCCCTTCAGAGAGCGTCAGTTTGGGAGGTTGGATCGGCTTGTGAAACCGTTGTCTGCATAGGACGCGCCTGAGAGTTCTGTAGATCGACAGCTGCTCATAGTTTCACACGGGCAGGATAACAAATGTTAGTACGACGCTTGAGTAATGACGTGTAACGGAGCTATTGAATGCTATGGAGGATGCTTCAAAATCTGTATCATCACATGTAAGCAAACTCTAAACCCTAAATCTTCAGAAAATTAACTCGAGATGGAGGATTCCCTAGAACCGAAATGCACTTATGCTCACCACGAATCGGGCGCGTCGTCGTGGTTTGGAGTGAGCCTTAGTGAGGGCATTCCTTGGAGTTCCCAAGCCTTTACGTGGCTGCGCCATGAGACTTGCTGCGGGAGATAAAAGCTCTAAGGACGCCGCATATGCTGGAGATATTGAGACCTCCTCCTCACGGTTAGATCTAAAAGATAGATGCGCAGAGGTGTAGTCACCAGAGTAGCTAGCGGAGCGCCTCCTCCCTGAGTACTGGCGCAATATTCGAGGGCTTAGATCTTGAATGAGTTGTCTTCTGACAGAACTACTGCAGGAAGCTAGAAATTGCTCTGTGGCAGTGTACATGGTGTGAGGGAGCCTGATCGGACGTTTTGGAGATGTTTGAGTACTCGAGGCCTCTTTCTGCTTTGCTACCGACTGCGTTGTAGGTAAAACGTTGCTGGAGATTGGCTCGCCTTTGCTGTTGAGATAGCCGCTTGAAGTTGGAGCTCCATGCTTGTCTAGGAGACCAGTTTCTTCGCCCAACGCTGATAATGATGTCTTTGTTTTCGTCGTTGTTAAAGCCTCACTGAGCTCTAGACGTTGAAAGTAGTTGATAAGAGAAGCCTCTGAGTTGCGTGTTGTGACTAATCGGTGCTGGCTTTTAGTTTTGGACAACGATTTGCCAGTTTTGGAGGGCTCGAAAAAACGATCGTTGTCAGAATTTCCTTTCGATCTGTGAGCATAATAATCTCTTGCAGAGATGTCCGCTGCAGCCGGAGATAAAGCAGGGATTGATGTAATTTGAGGTTCACCAGATTGCTGAAAATCAGTGGATGGAGGAGGCAGAAACCTGCTGTTCAAAGGGCTGGGCAGTTCAGGGAAATCCTCTTGAATAGATTCGTATGATGCACTGGAGCTCGTTATGGATGCCATGTGTTCAGAATGGTTCACCCGTCGCGTAAAATCTTCTATGTCTCCGCTGGATAAATTGATGTTAGACGCTGATGTTTGGCTACGACTCCCATCTGGACCAGACAAAATGCTGGTAGGTGATGAGGGTGCATGGATGTGATTTTTCTGCACCCACGAAGGAGAGTTCTTCATCTCTGAGCTGCACAGACTTCTGGGCTTCAGAACCGGTGAACTGGTTGTCGATAGTGATTCAACCAGTGACTTCTCGGAATTGCAATAAGTCGAAGTGAGAGATTTCGATACTCTGATTTGGCATCCTTCTTGAGGCGTTGAACTGCATCGACCGACAAAACTATGGCGTTTCCGGCGATCGGGTGAACCGGGAACCCTTGGAGGAAGGCTTCTACTGGACGCATGCTGCACCGATGCACGGTCACTCTGTTTCCGATGTGCTGGCGAAGAGGCTTGCATGCACGGCCCGAAGAAACTAGCGAACGGGTGGGAAACCCGAAGCTCCCGAGAGAAGCTGTCAGCACTACGATACGTTGGGACAGCAAGTCGGGGAGGCAACTGTAGCATGTTAGGACTTCGTGCTACAGTCTCTGCTTTGGGTTTCCCTGGAATATCCTCCCATTTGAAAGGCACAGCAAATGTCGGCGAACCTCCATGCACGCTGGGTGTGCTCGAAGGTGATTCAAATGCCTCCACCAAGAATTTTGCTGCTGCAGATCCATCGAGGTCGATGTGGGCATTCCTTTCACGAATACTGTACCGTCTACTTGATCGTCCTAAACTTGCATCTCTTGAATGGCCTCTTAATCGCGGTTGACCATAATATCTATAGCTGCTGGTCCGTCCCACGTCACCTTTTCCAGTTTCTGGGGAGCTTCGTACCGATGAGCTTCGTGCTTGATCAATTCCTTTACAGGTAATACTATTCTCCACTACCTCAGCGAAAGGTTTTACATCGGATTTCGACTGAGTTTCCGAAAAATTGCCTACCTCTATCCCCTCTCGTGTCGCCCTGCGAGCTGGTGCAAGATTTGCAACAGCGGCTATGGTCTTGGGTCTACCAGGCTCTTCCTCCCACTTGAAAGGAACTGCAGCTAGCATAATTGGAGCGTGGTCAGGTGACGAGTCACTCACATTGCTCGCCTTAAGGGTCTGCGGCTGCTTGCAAATGATAACAATCTGCTCTTGAATAGAGCTGTTTTTTAACCTGGATATTGGAGTTGTCAGGTGCTCTTGTGAGGACTGTGCAGATCTATGAGGACTGCCTCGAAGTTTAGATGGAGAATTCCCCTGTCGACTCTTCTCTCCAAGATTTGGCATGATCTCTATCCCTCCGAGAGCGTTCCCACTGAGCTTGCATTGCGACTGGGTTAAAACCGGGTACTCCTTGCTAACTGAGGTGGAGCTACTCTTGCTAGAATCGTTTGACGACAGTGGTAGTCTTGTCCCCTGCCTGTGGTGAAGGTCCTCTCTCGTTTTGGCTTTCTCCTTGTCGTAGTTTACGGCGTCTTCTGGCGCAAGTCTTGGGCTTAAAGGGTGAGCCTTCAAATCACTCAACCTTCGAAGAATCTCACTCCTTCCTGGTGAAGGTGGTACAGTCAAACTGGTGTTGCGAGCTTCAACCTGCCACATGCTTGGACTATCTCTTAATTGCGCATCACATCCTTGTATCTCGTTAGCAAATGCATTGAGTAACGCAACAAATCTGGTTGAGCTGTGAAGTTTCTCCAGCTGCCTTGGCGGCTTGAGGTGCCCGTATCGGTCTCTATTTAGTTCCTCAGTCCCGTTGCGTGCTGATCGAAAGCTTCTACCTGGAGTCTCCGCCAAGCTCCTGCTGTCGGCTATCTTTCCTGTGTTGGTTTCTCTGGAGCTGAGTGCATCCTCCTCCAGCAAAGCCTGCAGCCTCTCGCCATCTTTTGAGTCGAGCTCGAAGCGGAAGCAACTTGCTGATGCTGCGATTCCTTGGCTGCCCAGCGGCCAACCTGCAGACTCATCGTCGTTGAAACTCACATCTCCGTTGATCTCGCTCCAACAATGACTGACTTTGCTACTGAGGTGTGAACTTGTGGCAATTTGAGATGCCGACTTTGTGACGACAGGACAATTCTTAGGAGATGTGGGAAAGAAAAGAGGAAGTTCTCCGTTATTGACATTCAAGTCACTAGTGTCTGTGAGCAATCTAGCATGCTCTACCCTAGTAGTCCGTTCATTATTGACATAAATGTCCCCCTCAAAAATGCGTTGCTTACTGCTACATTTGCTACTCTTATTTTCTCCCATCGGCGGCCCCAGCTATCTCTCCGAAAACCATTCATGTACAATGTGCTACATGTAGAATATTCGCACACTTTCCTAAATTGTACGTATAGATGGGCAGCAATGAAACTTTCGAATTGCACTAATTCCAATTCTTCTCGCATGTACCTTCTAGCGCCGTGAAGAAGATAGGCGGTCTCTTCTACTCGAAGGCTCGACGGCCTCTGCTGTCGTCCCTCTCCTTCCAGAAGGAACTGCTCAGATGCAATAAAGCCTAGACTGATTAGCACTGCTGAGCTTAGACAGCTGACAAATGTGATCAGGGGCAAGAACACAGGGCTCAAAAAGTGCACGATCTAGATGAATATAGACTGCTCTGCCGGAAAGCACTGAACATTGGTCATGTTCAGATGCAGTGCAAGGAGAATTGAAATGAAAGGTATTGCGATGGAGCTCCTGGCTTCGGACCCATGAGAGCAGTTCAGGTACAATGAATGTCGGTGGCGTTCGATGATGCTGCCTCTGCCATGTGTCAAAGGCCACGACATCGAAAAGCAACCACTAACGCGTACAGAGGAAGAGAATTCTAAAACAAAAACTCAGACATCCTTCTCGGCTATGCGAGGGATATCAAAACTCTTGTAGCTCTCCAAAAGCGTGTACACCTGCGGCTCTGGTGCTGAAACGTTACTTCATAGTTGCACGAGCAACACCTTCGGAACGTGTAGGCATACATTGATGGCTGCTAAAAGTTTGTAATACCTAATAACAGGCCCAAAAATCTGCCTTTTAACCTACAAGAGATGAAATGGTCTCGCGTTCGTGCAACGCTCAAATCGAATTTACAGACACTTCAACCGAGAGGTGTGAATATCTGCACCAGAGGTGCGTGAATAAGATATCAAGATACGTCACAGATTTGCTCGACACCGGCCGACTTTCAGTGGGCTGAGCTACAAGCAAATGGTCATTAAGTGGGTGGTACAATTTGGGGGTTGAACAGGTTACCGTGTCGATTTGACACACCTCCAGCGCTCCGCCCGAATGCAGATAAATCGATCAACAACGGAAGGCTCTCGACCAGGTTCGAACGACCTTGCCGATGATTAGACTCGCCACCGCAAAAATGGAAAAAAAAAAAAAAAAAAAAAAAAAAAAAAACTCTTGTTCTCAAGTCGAGAAGAGTCTTTATCACCAAGAGGCTCACTAGAGAAGCAAATGTACTCCCTAACCCTCACAACACAAACAAGTCGGCTCCAACTCAACAAGAAAGAAATTCTGACTTGGAACTCAAAACGCAGGGCGATTCTCCACCAGATTCTTCCAATCGAAGGCAATTCTTCGATCTCGAGCTGGCATCGCAGCTTTTTCAAGTGTGTCTCGAATGCGCACTCTGTAAATAATGCACCCAGGGAGCCCCGTAGAGCACAGTGATACAAGTAGACGCAGTTGAACCAGTCCACTATCCACGCCCACGCTCTCGGAGGAGGATCTCACATTCCGAACGCGACCTCATAAAGACCAGGGTAAGACTGTTCGTAAGTATGCTCCCATTCAAATTGAATCCTATACACTGCACTGATGAACTGAGAATTGCGATGATGAAGAGACGGAATTGTCGATGTGGCTTTGGTGGCAGCGGCAGGCGAGCGCATCTCATGGTTGACTCAAGTCGTCGAAGGGTTGTCGCCGGAGCTCTGAGTTGTCCCAGTTTCATCTCTCCAATTGTTTGAATTAATAATTCCTCAAAATAAATATATATATATATATATATATATATATATATATGCAAATATAACAACAAGCTTGTATAACCATAGCCTCAATGCTGCATATGTACATACGTACACACTAATGATACTCCGAGGCAGCTGGCTATAGCATGTTGCAGGAGCAAAATAATGCCATCCCTGCAGGAGGTCCAGCCTTAGAAGTTTGAAGTCAAGAGATGATTATATTTAGGTGGGTATTATCACGATGCTCATGGCTGTGCATTGGCCTCGGTTGCCGTGACACTGAACTTGCACTGCATTGGTGGCATGGATCTGCCGTGTGCGCCTTCCCTACCAGATTAGACCTGCAGCAGCGACAATAATTGGAAAGAAATTTCCCCGCATTAATTGTGAGCAACCACGTCTAAATCGAGCTTGAGCGACATAAGGACGGGTGATTAGGATCCCTTATGAAGGTCTGGGCGTGGTCTCTCACTTTGCTGCTGGGGCTACGGTCCCTGCTTCAACCCTGGCCGTGTAGCGTACGAACACTCTCCTGACCCACGTGAGCGCCCAAAGGGCAGCTCAGTGAAGGGGGTACCCAATGCCAGTCGCAGTTGTGCTCTCTGCAAATCCTGTTTGAAAACTGTATTCAAGGTTAAAGCAGGAAGGAAGAAAATAAATAAAATGAATAAATAAAAACTTCCACGAAATACCGTGGTCGCTGTGACCAGCTTGAATACCTTTGCTTGCATGTACTGTAATACGGAAAGGCTCCGTCGAGGGGAAGACTCTTACATATAACTGCTCACTACATTCCTCCAAACCATATGTGGGGCAACAGTAAGAAAATTTCACCTCCTTTTTCACTGTCTCTTTCTGCTAGTTCACTGAGGCTGTCTTTTATCTCTTCAAATCCGACGACAAATCCAAAAAACTTTATAGAAAAAAGGACAATGGAAGGGTTTAGATTCAGTATCGGCTTCTAGCAGCGGACCCAGTGATACGCACAATTCGCCAGCAATTCAAGTTACACACAAGCGAACCATTTGCAGGACGCACACACATGCTCGGCTCAGCATTTTTTATTTTTTATTTTTTTCCGAATCCCCTACACCCATTGAATAACGCGTCCTCTTGGAATGGGTTCCTCGACTGGTGTGGGAGAGAGATTGCACCACTGTTGCGCTCGATGAACGAACCGCCGGAAATGCTAACCCTTGCAAAATTCCTGGGGCGCTTCCTGGCCTACGAGACTGGTCATCTGCGGCCAGGCAGGGATAGCGGTACCTTTCGATGAAGTGAGGGATGCACGGATTCGCACTGTTTTCAGACCTTCGACAAGGGAAAAGGGGTGAGGAACGATTCAAGCACCAGTTTCTCAACAATCAGTTAGTGTAGGTGCCGCCGTGGAAGAAGATTCCACCTCCGCCCCCGCTGTGTTCAGATACCCTGCGGGCTTTCGAAGGGTAAGCTTCTACCCCCCATGGGAACACAAGCCTCGTGTTCCCAGTGTTCCCAATGTTTCCAGGGTTCCCACTGTTCCCTGCGCACTGTAAACATATGATATGTGGATAAACTATACTTTTTATATTATAATTTATATTAAAAAATATTTTAAATTTTATTGAATTTTTTATTTTAATTAATTTATTTATTTATTTATTTATTTATTTATTTATTTTTAAATTTTACTTTGAATAATAAATAAACTAGTGACTAAAAATAATTAAACTGGAAAGTATCAAATTTGTCTTTTGGATCTAGATCATATATGAAATTGGTTATTTATTAGATTAAATTATAAATTGACACATATGTATACATAGTATTTATAATAAATAAATTTACTGTAAATTCATAAAATATGATGTCAAAGATTCTTATGGATAGTACAAATTATAATTAGATTATAAGTGCTTTTAAAATAATAGGAGAAAATAGAATAATTCTATTGTTATAATATCCGTCTTTTGTATAATTATAGTAAAATTAATGATTTTTTATAGTTAACAATTATCTTGAAAAAAACAATAATAGAATGATATAATGTTTATATTTGTTTGTAATAATATTATACTTAATGCAAAATATTATGTGTTTTTTTATTTATGAAACATTTTTTAAAAATCCGTATAGCACAAAATAGGAGTTACAATAAACATAAAATATATGTGCATATATATATATATATATACCTTAAAAGATTATAATAGAATAAGTACAAATAGTAATTATTTTTAATAGATTATAGTGTTGCAAAACTTATGGAATTAAAAAAATTGCTACATCAATCCTAAAAACACAAAATTTAGTATTACAAGATATACAAGATATTTTATTCACTATCATAATCATACAAGATATGTTATTCACTAGGAGATTAAATAATAAATTTTATATTTTTATGAACATTAGCAAATACAATGTAAAAAATATTGGTTATTTGCAACATTTTTTTTGTGCATAAAAAAATAAATATCTATATATGTTTTATATTTAATAAACATTTGTAGGACACTTCTCTTTCAAGATCTTTTCAATACATAGTAAATAATTGTTTGCAATGTAATACTATTCTTTGATATATTCTTCTAACTATTAAAAGGATATGTGATGACACAAAAAAAATTATATGAGTGATATATAGGCGACTGAATATATTATATGATTGTAATACCAATATATATAGAGAGAGAAAAATGAAATAAAATAAAATAAAATAATACTAGCTAAATTGATTTACAATTTTATATTCTAAAAAAATTAATGATAAATATGTCTAAATACATGTGCAGAATAACATCATAGTTGTACAATTTTGATGATGAATTTGTATGTGTCTACACTTTAAATAGTAAAAAATAACTTTTAAAAACAATATAAAACCTTTTCTACATCAAATTAAGACAATCTTTATAAAAAAAAGATATTTTATATGGATATAAGTAATTATCATTATAGGCATGGGATGAATATATATATATATATATATATATATATATTTTTTAGAAGAATATTAAATAAACCTATGCTTTTATTAAATAGATCCATTTCTAAAAACAAATATAGTAATCATGATAAATGTGGTTGATTTTTATTGGTTGCAAATCCAATAGTAGGAAAATGAGTCTTGAGGGCAATACTTTTTTTCATGACTTGATTAAGATAGGTGGGTTTATTTAACATTCCACTTATTTTATTATGATTTTAAATTATTTTAAGAAACAAAAACTAGTATTGCTTTAATAGTTATGAATTTTCTTCATTGCTATTATCAATATGATTATTATTAATTAAACCACCAATTTAATTTGGATTTATTTCTTTTAATGTTTTATTTTTTTATTTTTAATATCTTATTCTCTCAAGAATGTTGAAATCATGAACATAATAATTAATTATAATCAAGTGTAATATCTCTCTTTCTTTCTATATATATATATATATATATATATATATCATTGCAAAAATATTGTAACATCTAGTTGTATAAATTTATGTTTGAAGTAAAGCTATAATTTATAAAAACATATAATAATTATATTTCTTATATTTATATATAACAAGATCTCTAAATAAATATAATATCATGTATTTTTTTTTAAACCAGTTTAGATCGGCATTGAAAAGTCACATGTATTTCACAACATATTAGAAATCATCTCCAATCTTATGTCAACAAGATTCAATATGGGTATATAGAAAAGTGTGAATAAATAATGCATACAAGTTTGCTATGTAGATATATACACATACACATTTTTAATTTATAAATTAAAGATTATATTTAGATGTAGAATTCAAATTTGCAATTTGGATTTAGTATTTGGATTTAGAGCTTATTGTATCAGAACATTTATTTCTACTTCATCATTAAATGAAGATTGTATGGATGATTTGAGATTCGACATTTATACCAAATACTCATATCTTTGTATACATGTACTTAAGACTACTTTAGCAGTCTCATAATAAAGCCATAAGCTCTTTTTATTTAGTTCATTCATTTTATTGTTCTCTCATGGTTTCAAAAAGGGTGATCTCTCCTCTCTTTCTTTTGGATTCTATTCTTGTGCTCACTTACATCTCTCTTTTGGATTCTTATTCATTTCAATTCTTTTCAATACTTTTTAATTTTTGTTCTTTCATTGGTGATGGCTTTCTTAATAGAAAAGCATATTTATTACAAGAGAGATTCAAATGTTATCTCGACTTCACATTCTAGAAAGCCAAGAGGTAAATTAAAGCTGATGCTCTATTTTGAGGCAACATTAGACATAGGAATCATGTCTTTCTTTAGACAAAACATTGTTTTCTTAAACATTGTTTTTTTTTTTTTTTTTTTTTTTTTTTTTTGAGATGTCATACTTTCTTATTCTCTTTTTTATGTCTCCTACAAGGTCATTTTTTTGTTTTTTTTAATCTAGAATTTCCTAAATAATCAATCATTACTTAACTCTTATCTTATCATCAACAACATTATTTTTTATTGTAGCTCTTTTAAACACATGAGCAACCTCAAAACCATATATTTAAAAGAGACCATACTCATAGGTTTGAAAAATTACAAATATTGGGCTATCCTTCTCCAAAGTATCTTCAAGAAAGAAGATCTTTGGGATCTTATCAAACCACAGCCATCACCTATTACAACATCTTCTATCAAACCAAAATCCAAGACATCATCAAATTCAAATCAATCAAAATTTTATATCATTTGACAACAAAAACATAAAGCAAAAGCTATGATCTAGTTATCATTAGTTCTAGATTTCTACCACAACATCATTAATATATCAAATCCACGTGACTTTTGGCAAGCTTTGAGTACCATGTTCAATACAAACAACATATTTAATATCATGATTGTATTAAATTGCTAGAAAAATACTCAAATAGAAGATCATTAACACGTCACAACATTCATACAGAAGATAAACCACACAATTTGCAACCTCAAAGCCATCAAATAGATACCATCTAATAAATTTTTAGTGCATCAAATTTTCAATCAATTACTATGAAAATTTGATAAATTAGT